TCTGCTTACAAATTCTTTTACAAACACACATAGAATGTTGTCTAACTATCTCGTGCCTCCTGGATTAAATGGGGGTTTTTCTTAAAGTTAGGGACTGTCTTTTATATTTCTATATTCTCTCGTAACAACCAGTGAATCAGTGCATGAGCAAGAATGCAGTGGCTAGCAGCAGACTCAAAAGTATGTCAACCTCACCTGCCTGTTTCTGTGAAGACAGCCTGCAGGGGACCCAGCAGGTCACTGGCTTGCTAAGTAAAAGAAAATCCAGGAAAACCCAGAAAACCATACACAAGATCCGCAGCCTCAGGCTAGACTTTCTCTTAGCCACAGCTGCTTGGCATGGTTGCAGACTCTCCGAAAAATCTTCAAACTGCACCAAGGTCACACCAAGGTCTGTTTGCGTGGGTGCTGCTTCCCCTGGGTAAGACTAGACGCTAGGGTGTGAACACCAAGTTCTGCTGGCTCACATCCTTCCAGAGTGGAGGGTCCTGAACAGGATCGTCCAGGCTGTTTCACACCACCTCTGATCCGGTGTTCAGCCTGGGCTAGTCAGCTGACTCCTATGGGCCTTGGGATCCTGGATTATAGGACATACTGTTCTCTCTCTCTCTAACAGTGCTCTGGACCGTCAGAAGATCCCATGGAACTACTGAAAGTGAGTGCTTGTCTTCTCTCTCTGCTCAGCTTCTTACCATTGTCTCTGTGCGCCTTCAGCCCCACTTCCTTAAGTTCTGCAGAAAGGCCCATGGGGACTCTTCAGTACACTCGGGTGAAGCCTGCTCAGGTCTCTAGGAAGGCTTGTCCCTTTCCCGACTGGAACTCATACCACTTAAGAGGCTGTCTGTGTTTTCTCCAGGGACTTTTCCTTGGAGCAGGAGCAGTACAGTCAGTACTGGGAAAGCAACCCAGGAAGCAACATCATCCTGTGTGGGCAGAGAGGTGTGGCAGGGTTCCTGATGAAGCAGTCTCCAGAGTGGCATCACACAAGAATTCTAGGACCTGTCTGTGACTTAGCCCGGGCAAGTTGTGCAACTCCTTCAAGCCTTGAGGTCCTTGATTATAAGAGATGGCATTTCTCTCTTTGACAGTTCTCAGAACTTTCTGAAAGAGCAAAGCATTGAGGGTGCTTCCCCATCCCTTGCCCCACCCTATCCTGTAGAATGAACTCAGGGCCTGTGAGTCTAACTTAACCAGTACTCTGCTGCTGAGCTGTACCTTCAGTCCAGGGAGCAATGTATGCTAAGGGATGCAGTTAAAAAGCTGCCGACATGAGCACTCCACTATATGGATAAGGGTTTTATTATAAATAAGAGAGCATAGCCAGAGGCGTCGGCAGAGTTCAGAGCAGAGAGAGAGAGAAGTAGACTGGAGGTGGCCAGGGCTTTGTGTAGGGAAGGGAGAACAGCCAGAGATGGAGAACAGAGAAAACAAGCAGGAGCTGAGAACAGCGAGCATAGTGAGGGCAGCGAGGGTTGTAAGGAAGCAGCTGCTGGAAGCCTCTGCACTAGAAGGGTGAAATGTGTCAAAGACCAGCCTCGGTGGAATTCGTACATTCCAGGGTAGGAGCACGAGAATTCTAATTATTAAGCAAAAGGAACAGAGCTATGAGAGACTGAGAGGCAGAACAGCATCGGGAGGGACTTTCAGTGAATACGAATCCACCTCGTTTATTTTCCACACACTTAATATACTTCACTCCAAAAGGGGACGGAGCGGTAACAGACTTCATTAACATGATATAATGAATAAACTTGAATTCTCCGACCTTTGATCCAGGTGGAATCAATCCACCTTTATACCCAAAATACTAATTAACCTCACCCTAGGTCAGGATCTCTTGTTGGTAGCCACGTCTGTTGTCAGCAACTTTGAAAGAGCAAATTCTGTGACCTCCAGTCAAGGTGGAATAGATTCACATTCGTGGGCTCTCACAGAAATGGGTAACAAGTGAGTAGGGATGGGGGCCTGGAGGCTACAGTGACCTTGGTGTGTCTGTGAATTGAAGAGCCCTATATCCCTTTTGCTAGAGGTAAAGGGAATGACTCCTTTGGTAGACGGGAACACTGGGCTTTAGCTAATCACTAGAAATCCTCCTATAGTCCAGGCTGAGTTCATTTCTGAATATCCCAACTGCCTTTTGGAGTGTGGGACATTGGAGGGACCTTTGGGCCTGACCTTAAGCGCTCTGATGCCACAGCATGCTATTATGGCAGTAACTCATGGAGTTCTTCCATTCTGTGTAGTAGGGTAAGCGCTTGCGTTCCCTCGGCCCCTCACTTCTGGGTGTGCTGCAGATATGGGGTGCGGCCAGGCACACTTTACCCCTGGAGGTGTGCATCAGTAAGCTTCCCTTGATTGTTTTGCTTTTTCTCTTTGAGAATGTGCTTGGATTACTCTAGCCTTAGAATTAGGTTCCTGGTGGTATCCCTAGTCGCCGTCCCACAGCTGTTATTTGGCCCGTAGATTGTCATTTGGCCCCAGTTCTTTGGCTCTTAGTATCTCCTTCCTTGGTTATTTATGTTCTTAGTGCAAGGCCTACCTCTGTAGCCAGCGTTTGTTTGAGGGCAGCCAGCACCTCATTTATGCCCCTTTGCATCCTCAGCTCAAACACTGTATTATTAACTGACTTTTGTGAATTGTACCAGGTTAGTGTTTCCCCCAAATCTGTGTCCTCTTGAATCCCATGAATGGACCCTCGCTTGCAAAGAGAAGCTGCACAGATTTAATCCAGTTAACACTGGTCGTATTGGATTAGAGTCGCCTCCAAATCCAATGCCTGCTGTTCTTAAATCAAAGAGGAATTTGGAAGCAGAAGAAACCTTAGAAGGAAGGCCAGACAGAGTACAGTGGTGGCAGAATCCAAGGGCTACAGCTTGGAGCCAAGCGCCAGCAAGGATTCCTGGCCACCAGGAGGAGTCAGAGGATTCTCCACCCAGAACCTGCAGAGGAATCACAGCCCTGCTATAAAACACTGGCGGAGTGTTAAGGCACCTCATTTGTAGGATGCTGCATAGAAGACGCATACAAGTGAAAGGGACACTCCTTGGAGGTCACTTGGGCATCCTACTTTCAGATCTGCGTGGACTGCTTGCAATAAGATTTTTAAGTCACTAAAAGAAATGGATGGAGAGAAAGATAACACTGGATGTGACCTTAGCAGAAATAATAATAATCCAAATAATTTATAACAATAATCTAAAACAAAGTTTAGGAAGATGAAGTTAAGGGTATTTTTGAATGGCTTGCTGGCTAATTTTGATTGTCAACTTGGCACACCCACAGAGGAGCCTCAGTTGAAGAAATGTTGCCATTGGATTGGTCTGTGGGTATATCTTTAGAGCACTTTCTTGATTCTAGTTGATGCAGAAGGGCACAGCCCACTCTGGGCAGTACCATCCCTAGGCAGGTTGGGAAAAGCTGTAGAAGAAGGCTAACTGTCCTTAGTATAGAAGCAACCAATGAACAGCTTTCCTCCACGGTTCCTGTTTGTTACTTCCCTCAACCATGGGGTGTGTTGGGGATGTATAAGCCAAACAAACCCTTTCTTCCCCAGGTTGCTTTTTCATGGTGTTTATGACCGCAACAGAAAGGAAGTTAGAACCAAAGGGCTGTTGACATAGTTCACAGGGAGGGGCATTTGCCACTAAGTCTTACAACCTGAGGTCCATCTCCAGGATCTGCATGGTGTGGGGAGGGAACTGATTCCTGACTTCTTTGTCCCAAACAAATAGATAAATGTAAAAAATAAAAGATAAAGGGCGCATCATAGAAACCACTTGCATTACAGTAAAATGATTGGTCAAAGATCTGGGGCTAGGAGACCTAGGGAGTAAATGGGCTTCCATTTTGATATGTTCAAAGTAATAAAAACAGGCATGTGTGTGTTCCTAGTATGCCTTCCTTGCCTGAGATCACTGGAGGCTCCTGTGGTTTGAGCTGGGGCTGAGGATGGCTGCTGGTTCTTATGAATTCCAGCCCTGTTGGTGTGAGTTCCTCTGTGGTTAAAGGCACACACCCAAAAGACCACGAAGTCTACATTCTGGCTCTCGCCTCTCCAACCCCACCCCTCGCCCTCGCCCTCACCCCCACCCACGTTACTTGAGCCCCACTTCTCATCTGAAAAATCAGAGTAAAAGCCGTTCTTCCCCCTTCATAAGGTCGTGACGATCTAGTTAAACTGCATTAAAGCTGAGAACGGGGCACAGAACCGGGGACGATTAGAAGCCTTGGTTTTCTTCTCCTTAATCTTACACACAGATGATGCCTGCTTGGAAAAGGTGAATTATTGGGGAGATGAATTGTGGAGCCAATTTAATGACTTCCCCAGAAAGTACTGGTCCCCCCAGGAAGGAGAGGTAGGCAAAGCCGGCCTATTTGCCTCTCGGTAAGTCTTTAAATGAACATGAAGACACTTGCACACTGAACACAGGACACTTTTTAAAGCCAAGGTAGGGAAACTGAGGCTCTCTGCTGATGTGGGCACTCTTTGGAACTGACTGGATCTAGATTCTAGGTCCTGCTCAGCTCCTCTCCTCCTGCCGAGCATACTGCAGGCTTTCAGTCCGTTTCAAAACATGGAACAGAGCAAAGAATAAACCTGTTGGGGCTGACTTGCTTATGTTACTCCTTGCCCTCTAGGGCAGATTCTAGGAACAATCCTATACCCCCACCTCCACCCCCACCCCACGCAGAAGACTTTACAAAGTGAGCATACTCACAGGACCCCTTACAAAGACCCCTGAGAGCCAGAGGCTGCCCGCTGATTTAATGGGCGTGTACCATTCTTTGATGCAGTTATTCTGTGAGCCCCATACAGCATCACCCCCTGCCACCCTCACGTCCGCCGGAGGGGAAAGAGGAAGCATACTCCGCATGTAAGCACTGATTAAAACACAACTTTGTACTCTAATTATCCTGCAAGACCCCACCTTCCCACGCTGCTGATAACGCTCGCCAGGCAGCTCAGGCCATTGCTGGCCTCGCCCTCAGAGCCCACTTACATCTAGGAGACTCCTGCCGGCCCGGAACCCAGCGTGCTGGGGACAACCCGGAGTAGCAGACGTGAGTTGATTTGTCACCGCCCTCTCGGCGACTTTGGGCAAAATTACTTAGCAATCCCGTTCCTCCGGCATCTGGTGTGTGTCCAGCGGGCGGGGCAGCTGCAGAAAACCGGTACCGGGGCCCAAGAGCCACGACTTGCCGGCGTGCGCGCCACGGAACTTGCGCGGGGACCCCGAGAGCAGAGCGCGGAGCTTCCTCTGCGGGAGCGTGGTGGTGGCGCTCCTCCTTTCTCCGGCGTCACGGGGACCTCCGCGCTGCCCCGCTGATCCGGGGAGAGCGACTCCGGGACAGCGCGCGTGGCAGAGGAGAACCGGGCTCGGAGCGCCGGGGTGGCGCAGTGGCGGGGACCTCCGCCCCGGGCACCCGCTCCCCGGTGGGTCGGCTTGGACACACAGGCAAGCGAGGGGCGCTGGGGTGGGGGCAGGGACGACCCCTCCTGCCTGCCACTTTCACTTTCCCTCGTGGGAAACTTTGTCGCTATGGGGCGGGGGCGGCGCGATCCGGAACTAGCTGGGTTTAGGCTTCTTGGCGGCGGAGCCCGTTGGGTCCCCCCTGGAGCAGGCAAGGGCGGCTGCAGCGGGCGCCCAGCAGATGCTTCGCAGCCCCACGCGGCAGCCGTAGCCGGGAGTAGGACGCCGCAAAGTTCCCGCGTGGGAGCCTCCCGGGCTTTGGCCACCGAGACCAGCTCCTCGCGCGGCTTCTCCGTTAGAGTGGCGGGGACAGAGGTCCCGGGGGAGTCAAGTTTCAGGTCGCGTGTCCCAATCCGTGGCCTCTGCAGGGACAAGCTTCTGCGCGTTTTAAGGTCAAGTTTTCGTACTGCGGAGCGGGCCAGATATCGTACCCCCCTTGCAAAGTGGAGGCGTCTTGCTGGAGGCCTGGGAACCTCTGGGGGAATCCCAGACGGAGAGAAGGGACTCCAGAGCGAAGGACGTGGGCGTGGGCGTGCCTCCAGGGTGGGCACGGTGTGCTAATGAAACCGCCAAACTTCCAGGTAGAGGCTGGGAAGAAATCTTAACGTGTTTGTCCCTGTGCCAGGCAAGTGGAGGGGTGATGCCAGTTTGGGGGCACATGCTCCACGCCTTTTTTAACTTTTAAAACTTAAGAGCAATAAACAAGAAGGTTAAGGAAAGATGAAATAAAAAATTAGAGTCTATTGCATGCTTTGAGAGACATAGAAATCACCTTTTATCTTATATGCATACAATGTGCCCTTGTTACTTATTAAGCCACGTAAAAGCCTAGTCTAGAAACTAATAGTCTGTTTTGGCAGCTCCCGTTGATAGTGGCTGGAGGAAGTAGTCTTTAAAAGTGAGTTATTGCGGAGAACCGGCTGTGTTGCACTTAACGAGTATCCAGATCTGTGAGGGAGGCTGGATTCAGATGGTGCTAGATACGGCTTGTTGGTGTTCCTAGAGAAATGGCTGAAGAAGTGTGTGGCCCAGGGAAGGCTGGAAGGAGAGTTCCCTTGGGAAGGAGTCTCCCCGTTTCCTTTGAGAGGCAAGGTTTTCTCGCTAAACACTGGCTATGCACTTCGCAGAGGTGGGCAGGGTAAGGGGTGAAATTATCCCGATAGTGAGTAAGTTCCGTCGGCCTAGGCAGGCTGGAAATACTCCAGGCAGAAGGAACTGGGAAGTCTCCATGTGACACTGTCTGTTCAGCTCTGACCTGAGGACACACTGTTGTTGGGCACGTCCTGGTTTCCTGGGGCTTATCACTAGCCCTGCATTGTGTGAGTTAAGCTGAATAAGCTTCAGAGATTTTTGTTAGACTGGCAGGAACACCGCCTTGAGACAATAAAAAATTGAGCAACACTGGGGTCATAAAGTCAGTTGGATAAACCGAAGTCTTGTGCACTTATTGTGAGCTGGGCTCTTGCTGTGGGGCACAGATGGGCACAGCTCATCTTTTGGGGGTGCAGGCCCCTTACTGGGGAATGGAAGGTGGGTTAAGGATGAGTAGGAACTGTTGAAACTCAGTAATTGGGGAAGTAAAGGGATCAGTGTATCCTCTGAGCAGAGAACAGGAGCCATCTGTGCTGGGAGAGTCCCACAAGAGCCGGAAGGGACAGTGGAGACGGCAGCTGCTGAGATCTGGTGGAATGTGGGGCCAGCCACATAGGGTAGGTGGATCTCCTAAAGGCTTCGCACCTGTGAGTCTCCTCATAAACCTGGCCAGGTGGAGATGCCTCCAGGCCCAGCCTCCAGGAGGCTGAGGTGGGAGAATTGTTGGAGCTCAGATGGCGCAGGGACTGAGGTAGTGATGACTTGGTGGGTGGACTGGGGCGTGTCACGGAGGACATCTGTGGAGTGCAGAAAGGGTTCTTAAGTTGGGGTGCTGCTATTCCAGAAACAGGGAGCACCGGGAAGGGAGCAGGTTCCAGGAAGGAGGACACATTCAGTTTTGCTGAGTCTGAGCAGCTCCGGAGGCTGGAAAGGAGCCCTGCAGCCCCTGTGGCCAATAGAGCAGAATCTGGATGTTTTTCCAAGATGGCTGCTTCACAATTGGGATAAAGTATGGAGAGGAAGGAGTGGAGATTAGGAGGTGGAAAAGTGGATCCTGAGGGCAGAGTATCTAGAGAGGTGGTGGCCAGCTCTGCTGCCTGCTTCCAAGGTGAGAAGGAAGCCAAGGAATGACTTTTTTATTTTGGTTTTTTGAGACAGGGTTTCTCTGTAGCTTTGGAGCCTGTCCTGGAACTAGCTCTTGTAGACCAGGCTGGCCTCGAACTCACAGAGATCCGCCTGCCCCTGCCTCCCAAGTGCTGGGGTTAACGGCATACGCCGCCACCATCACCACCCGGCTGGAATGGCTTTTTTGTAGCTACTTAAATGTGAATGATATAGAGCCAGTGGAAGAAGATTGTGCCCAGAAGAGTGGGAATTACTCTTGGAATATCAAGTAAAAATAAAAAAGTTTTATGGTGATGGTAGTTCAATCAAACTCTATCAACAGTCAGTGCCTTAAAGAGACAGTGTTTTGAAGCAAGTGTGACTGCAGTTTGACATTGTAGATCATCCAAGTTTAATAATGGCAGAAATACAGAGGGTGATCGCAGAGCACAGCTGTACTGTGATTGGGGACAAGGTCCCTGGAGTGAGGCTGTGACAGCTTGTCTCTTGGCTCTGTCAGTCCCATGCTTGCTTCCTAGCTCAAGTTTCCTGGCTTTTGTGACTCCTTGTCCTGGTCTCTGAAGTGACCCCACACCTAAGGGTTCTGTTCTTCCTCATGGACTGTTTGCAAGGATTTCATGTTTACAGCACACATATGTAGTGTGTGCCGTGTGTGTGCGGTAGCTGGCATACAGTGTGTGTGTGGTAGCTGGTATACAGTGTGTGTGTGTGTGTGTGTGCGCGCGCGCGCGCGCGCGCACGTGTGGTAGCTGGCATACAGCAAGCACTTGGTAAGCCCTGTGCTGCTGATTCGAATATGGTGATAATGTCCTTCCTTCCTGTGCTGTCTTACCTATCATTTCCAAATACATAATCAGAGACCTAGAGAATTCTGAGATGACAAAGGCCACAGAACCAACAGGCGGCAAGTTAAAGCCTGCGTCCCTTTGGACAGTTTCCAAGCCATGGTGCTCTCCCCAGCATGTCAGCGTCAAGATACTGAATGTGACTGGAGACAGCTGCAAGAAGAGAATCCAGGCCAGACACGGTACACTTATCTGTAGCTCCAGTTCTCAGGAGGCTGAGGCAGGAGAAGTCATGGCTACCTGGGTTACAAAGTTAAAGAATAGTCTAGAGTACAAAAAGAAGGAGGAGGAGGGGAGGAGGAGGAAGAAAAGGAGGAGAGGAGAGGAAGAGGAAGAAGAGGAAGGAAGAAGGAGGAGAAGGAGGAGGAGGAGAGGAAGAGGAAGAAGAGGAAGGAAGAAGGAGGAGGAGGAGGAGGAAGAGGAGGAGGAGGAGGAGGAGGAGAAGAAGAAGAAGAAGAAGAAGAAGAAGAAGAAGAAGAAGAAGAAGAAGAAGAAGAAGAAGAAGAAGAAGGAGGAAGGTAACAGGATCCACTGCAGGTGAGACAGGTCATCTACGCCTGGTATTAATTCGCATCTCTTTGCATGTCATTTGATATGCATTCCCATATGCTGGTAATTTTCCTAGCAGGCTCTGAAGTCTGAAACTTCAGGGATAAGAGGAAAAATAAAATTAATTGGGAACTAACTGCAGTTTAATTAAATGTAGTTCAGTCCTAATAGACAGGAGTGTTGGGTTCAGTGTGGGTTTAGGGTGGGGGAAGTATTAGGTTTGTATATACGGTTTCAGAAGTGGGGAAGCCAGATATCATTTGGTAAAAGCAGGTCACTCCTTAATATGTTATGAAACTTGTTCTGCTGAGCATGTAGTGAAAAAAATATAGGAAACCGTAGAGGGAAAGTGGGTTATATAAAATGCCAGGCAGTGCCGCACAAACAGAGCAGGTCTGTTTTAAGAGGCGGGGCTGACAAGGAATCCTAAGGTGGTCGGAAGGGAAAGGCTGGATTTCTGCTGGGCACTCTCAGTGTTAGAGAGTTTATAATCTTAGATGCAAATGTATGAGGATTGTGCCGGATATCGCCGCATGCGCCTTTTATCCCAACACTCCAGCAATTGGGAGGCAGAGGCGGGGAAGGGGGGGGGGGGATCCCTGAGTTCAAGGCCAGCTCCGTCTACAGACTGAGTTCCAGGACAGCAAGGGCTACACAGGAAAACCCTGATAAACAGCCGGAAAAACAAAAGATACTTTTAGTTGGAGCAGTGCTCACGACCTGTGCCAGCTGCTTCCGTGTGGTCTGAGCAGGACTTCTGTGACTGCCCGGGGGGCTGTGTGAGAACCTCGGCAGGTGACTGGCCCAGCTGCCAGTTTTCATGGGCTCTTTAGATTCTCCCAGCAGCTTTTGTTTCTCTTGATTTTTTACTCATTGGCTCTTCATCTTCCGGTTTCCCTGCTGAGGGTCGCCAGCTCCATGATAGGCTCTTTCGGGTCCCTCCTTTACCATCTTTGGCGAGGACTGAAAGGAGAGACACAAAGCCACTCCTTGGGGTCATTTGCTCAGGACAGTACGGAGCAGCGTGGGCTGTCCCTCCCTGGTGTCTAGGTCCGACCTCCTGAGGAATGCTTTCTCAGATCCCTTAGGGCGGCAGCCTTCTGCAAGCCTGTGGTTCTCAGCCATCCAGGGCAATGGCGGTTTTGTATTGCTACCTTTTTCTCTTCCCCCTTTGGCAACTTCATTCTGAACAGTGACTCATGCCAAATGCAGTCAGCCAAAACAAAGAACAACCCGCCCGCCCACGGATGCCCCTGCAGTGAGCGCTGGTCCGTGGAGGGAGCGCAGCTGATGTTTGGGGCCCATGCCTTCCTTACTCCTTGCGTTTAAATCTCATCATTCCAGATCCAGGTGCCACAAAACCGTCTGGGTCTCACACCTATCAGCTGACCTGTAAACCACGCCTGACGCCGGTGTCCTCTGCCAGTTGGGTCACTGAGGTCCAGGCCAAAGAATTAATGACATGTGAGTGTCTTTGTGAGTGGCCCTCCTCACAACTAATGAGACACAAAGCTAGGGCCTCTTTTGCAGTCCTGTGGACCAGCATGAGAACGGCTGTGGTCGGTCCTGGCAGTAGCTGCCTCTGAGTCTCTCTGCTGTTCTGAAAGTCCTCCTTTTGTGTCCGCCCTGCTGATGTAACCCCATCCCGGTACCCAGCCCCTGGTCACACTGCTGGGCAACTGCCAGCGCGAGCGGCTTGCTTCTCTTGCTAGTGTCTCTACATAGGCTTAGGGCCTATGGGGGAGGGTGAATCTGCAGGGCGCGAAAGAGAATCCAGGAAGTGAAACTCGTGCCTTAGAACCCCTCCGTGCATCGCCGCGGTGTCTCTGCTGGAGTCTAGATTGAGTCGGGTGTCTCAGACGATCCAGGATTTGAAGTGTAAAACTGTGCCGCTCTAGGATCCTTAAAGGAACACAATTAGATGATAAAACGCATTTTAAAGATCGTAAGGTGGCTGGGCGTGGTGGTAC